TAACGTTAATTAGTTACTAATAATTAATTATATAATAGTACTAACTAACGTAGTGTGTGTGTGTGTGTGTGTGTGTGTGTGTGTGTGTGTGTGTGTGTGTGTGTGTGTGTGTGTGTGTGTGTGTGTACGTACAAACTGTAATCTACTTTCAAAGTCATTATGTGAAGAGTTGTATATAATTTTTGAGATTAAACAAAAATCTACCTTAACTATAATTACTGCCCTTGACCAACAAAAAGGCATCTCTTAGGGCCAATGTAGTTAAAAACAATTAATAGAAAGAATAAAAATATTATTTTACCTAGTCTATAAAGATTTGGATATTTATTTTACATAATTTACCATAGGGAACTTGCACTATATACCACTAACTTATATATGAAGCTAAATGTATAACAAATCACTTTACGTATATACAAAAAAATTCAATTCTAATCATACTGTTAACAGTAATTTTTATCACAAAAGTCTACAAGTCACTTAACTACATGATAGAAGGAAGTTCTTTACAAATTTAAATCATTCATAACTTCAAATATTCTCTACATTTCAAGTGGAATAGCTTGGTATGTACAGATTATTCAATTTAACGTATTTACTAAGCCTGAATGTGTTCTACTGCTATTAAAATTTCCTTTGCAACTATACTATTATCAAGTTTTATTATTAGTAACAGAGAGCAGGGAAAAAAAACTAATTACAAGTTTCAGACAATTCATTGAGGGAAACAAATGTCCAGTTTCTGTACTTCACAAGTGATTTAAGAATTCAATGCAATGAAATCTATCACAAAAGTTCCATATAGCCTATTCATGATGTTTGCATATTTTGTAATGTTATGAAATTTTAATAGCTCTTATACACCCACTGACTTTGAATAAGTGTACATTTTCTCATACGTTATAGTGAGGGTTACACATTTTATTAACCTATATTTAACCTTTTCTGAGCACTCCCCAGGGTTGTGCTCACTATTAGGAACTGAAAACTTCATTTTTCCCCCACGAGCTCACAATTTCTCTCCTCCTCCAGTAACATTTGTATGAACAGAACGGAAGCCATTTTGGGCCGCGAAGCACGCACGTGTTTGTAACGATCGATACTCATTCCTGTCGTGCTTGTACAGCATGTTATAATCATCCAGTGGATAGACCACCACCAAAGTTGCGTGAGAATAGGTTATATCAACTTTACCTTGTAGTCCACCATTTCCTTTTATCATTCCGCTTTGTTTTTGTTTTTATTTTAGCAGATAAGGACATTTTAACAAAGCTAAGAATTATCCTGTAAACTACGAAATCTTCTTGCTGCATTGCGGTCATAGAAAGTATTCTTCTGAAGCTATAAATAGTAGATCTAATCTTGTAGAAGGTAGTACATGATTTAGTGCGGAGAAAAGAAACTCCGGGACACTCATTAATGTCAGTCAATTCTGAGTTCTGTAACTAAGAGCATAACGTACTAAAAAGCAAGTACGTATAAAACTCGCTACGAGAATCTAGAACATACCTTTACGTGAAAACTAACAAAGGATCTGAAAATACTGAAACTTAATCGTTTGCATTTACATAAATATTATCACAGACGAATGTAGTAAGACATTCAAGAAGTCAAACTTTTATAATCAAAAAATGCATACGAATCCAAACGCACACTTCGAAAACAAGGTCCCACCATAACCAAGTGTACGCATTCCAACACACACAGTCTACGACTGTATATTTCTAAAGCATAGAATGTTCCGTGAATCAGAAACAGAAATCTGTTGAAGCCAAACAGTTGTCCTGCATAAGTTAGTACAATATAAATGCTGTAATGGTGATGTGAATATATAGATACGACAATCATCACTAACGATATAATGATAAAACTTCCTTGTTTTTGCCTTTTAACCGCTTCAGTAACTCATTTCTTTTAACACCAAAATTTCTCAACATAAAGACCACATTTTTACTTTGATTAACTACAACACAATTTAAAGTAATGTATACTATAAAACATTACCATTAGGCTTATGAACAGGATGCTTTTAAGGTAAAACTGGCAACTCAGTGTGTATATAACTTTTGTTTTTTGATAACCCCAAATGAACATTTTTCTCTCAATAAAATTAATTATGCTACTTTGAGAAATTGGTACAACTTCGAAGTTGTTTAATCACTGGACGAAATTTTTGTGAACACTATGTATACTTTGCTATAAAGAAATGACAAAATAAAGTTTGAATTGTAGCAAACTTTAATTAAGTGCTTTATTTCAGAACGAAATTATTAACATTCAGATATTATAATTAGTTGTTCTACATTTCCCTTCCAATATCATGAACAGTTTTTTGGTGGTGGTGTTTTTTTTTGTTTTTTTTTGCCGCATTGAAAACGATCTTAAGAAAGGAATGTCACGTGACCTATTCTTAATAATCAAGGCACTGAGAAACGGACAGCAGCTGTAAGCTTTCGGGCATGTGCTTAGTTCTCCAATACAGCCGTGTACAACTCGATTTTAAGCGCATCCATTTCTTCGGTAGGAGCAATGTCTAGAAACACCTGCTAATATTGTTTTTACTAGCGCTTAAAGCACTCGCTTGTTCACGCATGGATTGGTAATTATATCACGTACACGGTCATCACGATGGGCTATCAAACTACTGAATTATCACAGTCTACTGAGTCACAAATATCAATCAATATGCAAGTGATCTTACTGAGGGACGATCTACAATTTACATACTTTAAGGGAAGGGGGTACGTGTATTTTTTTTTGCTATAGGTGGTACGATACATTCCCAGTTGTTTAATTGTGTATGTAACAGTCGATGATTCTGACAGGATATTGACGAAATTCCATATCAATTGCTGTATCGCATTCCTTTGCAATTAAGTATTAAACGGACAGAGAGAGAGCATCAATCGCTGCAGAAAACTGCAAGAGTCACCAACCTTCAGTTCTTTCTTGGCACAAGTCCAAACCTACCACTTCTGCAGGACTGTAGCTATACTTTCTTCGCACAGTCATCCATGCATGAAGCAGTTGCAATTCTTTTTAAGGTAATGTGTACAAGGAAACATCCCAATTAAACGGAAAGTTATTTTAACCTTTCATTCTTAACTTGTCCGTCAGGGCTTTCAGTGCGAAAAGTGTATCATTTCACGTCAGTACAATGTTGGTTGGATTCTACGAACTTACGACTAAAAGCAATGAATATTAAATAACAATGTCAACCACACAATATCTGATAAATCCAGTGCCTACGAGGTATTTCGCCCAATACCAGGGCTCATCAGGCCAGCTGAGATACGAAAGATATGATAGTGGCCAAAACACAATTTATTTCATCAAATCACATGAACAACAACAACATAAAAGTTGGTCAAGTGTAATCATTACCAATTTTATTTTTTTATGTCATTTATAAATCAGAATTCCATTTAGGATTAATAACACAACCTTATTTTTATGTAGTACTATTTTTACTTTAATTAGCTCTATTACCATTCAGAAGAACTGGTGAACCAACAGGCTAGTCTTATGAGGTAAGCTACAGCCAATGAGCTTCCTCCGCTTTGGCTAATAAGCCATAGTTTCAAGTTCTTGGAAACGATGTCATGAGTTAATATAATAATCACAGGTAATCACGCAGTATCATGAATATTAAAATATACATAATCTGTCCTCCATTGGCTTCTTTCAATCTATTATGTATTTTTATGATTATATATGCTCTTTGTGCGAAAATGTCGGACAATTTCTTTTAAAACCAGGAAGGGTGGCTATGAAAACCTTAGAGCCAAGAGGAACTTCTTAAAGATGGTGGTGTTCAGTATTTTAAACAACTTTATCTATAAATAATTTGATAATCAGAACAGAGACAAGTAGCATTACCTTCAG